CCTCAGGTTTCTTCCTTTACTGGTAATGATTCCAGCTATATAACAAAGACTAGGAATGACCTAAGGAAAAACTGTAAGATATGGCCAGTCATTATTTTTAGTTTGGCCCTACCAACAAGAAATTATAATGGCTACAGGTAGGAGACTCTATATATTTGTTTCATCAACTACAATAGCTATGGTACTGTAGAAGAAATCACTATTAGCTTTATCTTCATCAAGGTGTTAGACTACCACATGTTGGTCAATATTATCAATTGGAAATGACTGTAATAAGAACTTAGGGGCCAATGAGTTGACTCAGCGTTCAAAAAAAATTCATTCAAGATGAGCTGTTTAAATAATAACTGTTCCATCATTAGAAAGATAATTACAGTACTGCAAAACAACCAATGCTTCCATCTTAAATTCTTTCTTTTATTATAAATAGCATTTTAATAAATTTCAGCAGGTGGGGAATAGCAGAAGCAAACATTTTCTTTTATAACAGTCCTAAATCTTAGATTCATTGAGAATCATATTTCAGTTAACTAAGTTTTCCATAACAGTTTTGTGAAAGGAGAATTAAGATTGCACAGTGGCAACAAGTGCCAGATCAAATGGGTAGATCTCCAAAAATCTCTAAACCCCAATGTAGCTAATTTAATTCTCTGCAAAACAGAAATATAAATGCAGTGAATAATTGCACTCTAATACTCTTTTCTTTCACACACTGAAGTATAAACTAACATAGCTATGCACTGTTGCAGGCCTGCTGGAAAGCTCTTAGATTCAGCACAGATGGAAAAAGAAATTTTACTCAAGTTAGTTCAATCAAGCTAAATGCCATTTCACCTCAGTTTTTAATGCATAAATTGCAACAAGGCAGTCAAAACGAATGATCAAAGCACTAAATGCCCTAATATTGACTGCACAGATAACCAATTGAGTAGATTTTTACACCCTCAGACAAGAATCTAACAAACCAAAACCACTACACTGATTTAATCATTGCCACTCAGTGCCATTTTAGCAAATGGCAGCAGTCTTTTGTACTAATTGGACTAACAATTTGTCTCACGCTGAGTGATGATGAACTCAGAATTCTGTAAGAACAGCACCCAGTTCCAGATAGCGATATTAGTTTACTCTCAGGGTGTAGTTCTCTTTGAACAGTGAGCTGTTCTTAAAGTAAATAAAAGTTCCATTCCATTGGACTGAACATAAATGTGTGAAAAAAAGAGTCAAATGTTCGCACAAAACCCCTTTAATGTAAGACATCAGAACAGAAACAGCTGCCTATTTCCTCTTAATATGGGGCTAATATAAATCACTGTATTAACTGATTGTAATTTGATGAAGTCTATCCTATTCACAGATGAAGGCGTATTAACTTATGTGTCTTAACATATAAAACCTTTGCAGTCACTTTCATACTAACAGCTGTAGGACCGTACGCTTTTGCTTTACACCATAGCCACAAAGGTCTTATCCCAAGAGACACTCTGTGATTTCATGGAAGCCTTAAATTTACTGAACCTGCCATCAGCAAAGGCTCTGTAAATTAAAGTTTGAACACAATATTGTTTAATGAAATCTCAGCTTCCACAGCAATTTTCTGTCAAATGAGTGCTACTCACTAAGACTTCACCAAGAACACTCCAGAGTCAAACAAGAACATGAAAATGTACTGCAGGGCTATGGCCAAAGTCCTGCAAATGCTCAAGGTTTTCCCAGTCTAGAAAATGCACTCCCAAATGTGTTTTTATGTCCCCCAGCATCTACATGGGGTAGGGACTAAAGTTAAAGACTGATGCCGTTTGACATAAATCTTCCCAAATAAAATAAGACTAGTTTCCCATTTCTACACATTAACAGAGTGAGAGGGGAATCATCAGTGTATATAAAAAGACATCTATAAACATTAACAGCCGGAAGTTCAACATATTTCTGATATGATCCCTACGCCCTTGCATTTGGCAAACAGGCACTCCACTCACAAATTAAATCGGAGCTGCTTAACAGCTTGGCAAAAGCCTCATATTTTCTGCCCTTGAATCACTCTGGACAGAAAGCAAAAAATCAGACTGCTGGTATGTAGTAAACCCATATAAGTAGAAGTGGCATAAGAAATTAAATATCCTACTAAACATGTCACAATTTTGAAGTTGTATTTGTGACACTGGTTAAGCATGTTTGTGAACATTAAAAATCCCAGTTATAGCACATAAAGCATAAATATAAACTCATTCCTTCAAAGTTTGTTGTCCAAGTTCTGTGTTTGGATAACTGAAAGACTGAAAAACAAATCCAGCAATGCAGGAAAAAAAATATCTGTAACTTATATTTACTAGTAAAAGTGAACTGCATTAGAGCACATATTAGGAACAAAAGATTACAAGGAGGGATTAAACAGACATTTAAAGAAGTGGAGGCGTAAACCAACTCTGGAGTATAAAACTGCAGGAACAGAGGTAACACAAAGGCAAAACTGTAACAGGAAAGCAAAGAAAAAGACAAGGAACTGAAAAGAGAATATGGATACTTAAGAAGTAGCAGAATTATAGTATCATCACTTTTTGCAGGGCAAGTAAAATCATATTTTAAGAGCTAGGAAGTTCCAAAAGCTACTGAGACAGTCTCTGCCACTTGTTCTAACACACAAGGGGATAAAAAACCCCAAACTTAGGAAACCAGGTCACCAGGAATTAAGATGCCTGCTTGTAACAGTTTGGGTTAATGTATTACATGATCCAAAATTGCTTGGAGGTTTTGGCACCCTAAAGATAAATCAGTATCTGAAATGGAGCTCCTCTAGACTAAGTGAGGAAATGATGGCAACAGTTAAAGTAAAATAGCTTTACATATAAGTGCTAATTTTATCACACTGTCTTCTTATCCCATATATAACTGACGAGCAATGAAAGTGTAAAATGTGGTTTCCTTCCTAAATCTTTAAATTAAATAATCTCAACAGGCAAAATTTTGAAGTGCACATCAGTTTGTAAAAAAAAAAACAAACCACCCAAAAAATAAAAACAAACACCTTCAGTAACTACTGTTTTCAACATGCTACTAATAACAATAACCCAGTCACAATAAAAATTTGTGTAACAGTGAGCAGTGTCTGTGCAAAGTGATCAAGACAAGAAGGATTTTTTAGATGGAAAACAAGGTAATCTTCAATAGCAGAATTAAAAGTGGATTTATCTATGCAACTAGATTTGTGTTTCTAAAGCAAAGGGGTAAGCCCTTGCAAAAGGTTGTAAAATGTGAATCCTGAAACAGAAGCACAGCTGGACAGACAGACCAATGCACTCCATCCAGTTCAAATTTCATCCAGGTAACTCCTGTCTCTCTAATTAAAAAGTCTTCCCTAAAACTACATCAGACATAGCTTCAAGAAAACATGTATTCACAGATTTTCAAATGCTTACAAAGGGCACTGTCTTACACAAAACCTCCTCCCTGACTACATTTATGACAGTTTTCCTTACCTTTAAAAATAACAGAAACGATAGGATCTGGTTTCCCAAACTTGGTTTTAGGGATATTGGTAGCAGATTCCACAATTACCCGAAGCATTCTTTCCCGTCTTGCCTAAATGTCGACTGTTACAAAATAAATTCAAGGAAGTCTTCAGTTTCACACTCCTTAACTTCTGGACCGAAATGCTAGCAGGAAGAGGAGGCAGGGAATTGCTGGTTTACAATAAAGAAGGTCTATGGGTGGATCTATGACGGACTAGCTACTCCATCTAGGAAAAAAAAAAGTCCTGTAAATTGACACCAAGTTCTGTCTTGCTGCACAAAAAACAGCTCTCGCTAATGAAATCCTGTAACAGAAAGGACACAGTGCAAAAACGAGTGCAAATTTATTTTGGAGGGTTTTTTGGTTGCTTTTATTCTGAAGCTGTGTGATAAATCTCTAGTAAGTAACTAAGGCAAGAGTAAGCATTAAGCAACATCAACATTAAACACGACTCTAGTACTCAAGATATATGAAATCTTCATCTTGGTATACCAAGGTATGAAATTTCACGATGGGTTATGTTTTTTCCCTTCTTAATTTGCAGAACTTCATTGTTTGCAAATGGTCTTGGCTTGCCTCCGTGACAGCCTACAGCCACAAACTAGCGACGGTCCCCAAAACCAGTGTAAGTTCTCCCCCTCCCGTTGCGTTCTGGAACAACGATGTGTTGCACAGTAAGTGCTGCAGCTTCGTCACGGAACAGGCTAGATTTAGTAGACAGATTGAGAAATTATTAAAATATATATGCATAACTAAAAATGGAAAATAATTAAGAAAATGCGTACCAAAAAAAAAACCAAAAACCAAACAAAAAACCCACAACCCCCCCCCCAACAAACCACAATAACAAAAAAAACCCACAACAGCAAAAAACCCCACAAAAACAAAAAAACCCAACCAACTAACTAACCAAAAAGGTGGTATTTGTTTGCCTCTGTACTGTTTGGAGGCATATGTTTTGTCCTAACACAAACATATGCAGTAACAAGGTAAAACTTCCATGACTGGCACAAGAGCTCCCAGCTCCCCGAGCTCAGCGTTACAGCAAGTTTTTCTCAGCTGTGGAACAGATGTTAAAGCCCGAGAAGTGCACGCTGCCACTGCAACTCGTGTGCCAAGCAGAGATGAGGGGGGAAAACAGCAGGATGAGTCACATGTAAGCACACTTCAGCCTAGTTCTTACACGATCATAGAGAACCATCCCACCTTACTTTGGAATTTCTAAAATTATTAGATTTTGGGTAGATTTGGAGAGCTTCAGGAGGAGAAAAAAAAGTAATGTGAAGCACACGTGTTGAGGGAGGGACGAGGACAGAGACAGGTACGGGACCGCACCGAGCGGGCCGTTCCACACTCGGCCATCGCGGCCCCAGCCAGGCCAGCGCCGCTGCGGAGGGTGGGGACAGGCACCGCCGGCAAGCGACACGAGAGGGCAGCACCGCCCGTCCCTCCACACCGCCCGCCGTGACGAGCTCCAAACCCCCGGAACTGACGGGCCGGAGCCGCGGGATTCAAACTCCCGGAAGCGGCGCCGGGCCGGGGCCAGACGGGCTGTGGTTTGGGGTGCTCGGGCCCCGTCCCGTCCCACGGAGCGAGAGCCGGCAGCAGGATCCGGGAAGCCCTGCGCCTGACTCCAGCTGTCGGGAGCCATGTCCTGCCCGCTAAAAGGGATCGCTGTTCCGTGACGCCGCGTTTGGGTTTTACGGGCGCCGAAAGATGAACCCCAAGACCGCCAAAGATCGTATTATGGGCAAGTGGGGCTTAAAGTCGAGCAGCTCCAGAGCTGAGAGTGGGCTGGAGAAGGGTAAACAGGAGAGCGCTGGGCTGAGGAATCATCCCACGGAGGAAGCCGCCCCCGGGAGCGGCGGGATGGCGGAGGCGGAGAGGAGCGGGCTCCTCCAGGTGAGCGGGCTGTGCCCAGCCGGCCGTGCCGTGTCGGGGCCTCCGGGCCTGCCCGGCCCGGGAGCCAGAGCCCCACCTTTCCTCTCGAAACTTCGCTTACTTTGATGTCGCTGCTGGTTTAGTACTGTTAGACAACTTAGACAAACTTTTAGTTTGACGTTTTCATTCTCGTGTACTTTTCAGAGATGACTGAACTAATAAAATCACACTCATCTGACAAGGCTGCTAAATACAAAGACTTGAGGCCAGAGGTGCCAACTAGTCCGTTAGGACCTGTCCTCTCGTGTCCAACAGGTCTCGGAGAATTATTTTAAGCACTTCCTGCAAAGAATATTATGTTTGCAAACATTTGTCTAAGAACATGCCAAAAAGTGCTGAGTGTTTGCTTGAAGTGAATTGTCAAGCTCCCACTCAGCTATAGGTAAATAAAACTGTAATCAGGTCCCTACATTATTCTTCCATTGCAACCAAAGAGCAGAAACTAAGACTGCAAATTCCATCCAAGGTAAACCTGTGGTTGCAGAGAGAGAAGTTCAAGACTTAATATGTGACCAAGTCACATACTGTCAGGCTTCCCAGAAGGACTGCAAAACTTTAAGTAGACTCTTTCAAAGGATACAGCTAATGGAGACTAGGCACACTAATATTTCTAGGCCATTTCTTTTGGCAAAAAGGCTTTGCTTGTGTCTGTGCCACAACGTCAGTTGAGAAATCCTAAGCCAAGGATCAGCTATGCCTGGGCAGCTCGTGTACAGTTGTGGCTAAATTCCTTAGTGTATTCGCTGTGTCTGTTAGCATTTGCTGCTTGCTCAGTGTTGGTTACTTAATACTGGGTTCCTAGTTTTCAAGTGAAAAATCACCCCCATGTTTAGATGTAACAGGTATTCTGTGGTGTCAATATTTTAATTTTAGTGAGCATTCTATGGTGTTCAACCACTCCCTAAATGAGGCTCTCTAAAATTCAATTTGTTTCAGTTTCTTTGTCATCTTCTAATGACTTCTCAACATGTAGGATTTCAGCATCGGCCTTTCTCACCAAAAATTAAATGTTCTCACATCAGAAGTTCATGGAAAGCCCCAAGGTATCTTAAATGCAGTACTAATTCTGTGTAATAATTACCTGTGCTGGAGGCCTACTCAAAAGAGAGTGCCTGTTGAAAATACCTACGAAAGCACATTTTGAAGGGCCACATAATTTGGAAAATGGGATCCTTCTCCTGAATGCTTTATTATAACTCTTTCGTAACCTCACTTACTGTCATGTAGTTTGCAAGAAAGCTCTACTGCTTCCCAAAAGCTACTAAATATGCTGAGAAATAAGCTAAGAAATGTATCATCAATGTCTTTACTGGAAGTTTTTTGGAGTTCTTGTACTGCTTGTGTTTGAAGGTTCATATACTGTAGTGATCTGTATTCATATACAAAACTGAGTACCTACCAAGCCTATGAAATTTGGTTCTTTGCGTTCTTTCCCTGTTTCATCTACTTCAGACTCATTTTGCTATCACTTGAAATATTCCAGGTGATTGTGCTAGTATTGTCTGGTTTGAGTAAAAATAATATTCTCAGCTAATTAAAGGCTAAGAGAGACTCTTTGAAAGTGAATATCATAGAATCATAGAATGGGTTGGGTTGGAAGGGACCTTAAAGATCATCTAGTTCCCTGACACCTTCCACTAGACTTGGTTGCTCAGATCACTCAAACTATTGTAAACTTGCTAATGCATTTGTTGCATAGACTAAGTTACTCACTTGTGTCACTTTTTTATTCTGTTTCATTTAGAAAATACATTCCCTTGAAAAAGAAAAAGAAAAACACAACCATCTTGTTGGAGAGAAAGACAGGGAAATCCAAAACCTGAAAGACAAGCTTAAGTCCAAAACCAGTAATAGTGAAGTCTCCTTACTACGAAATCAACTAGAGGAAAAAACAAAGGAAGCAGAAAGGAGAGAACAGTTACTTTGTTCTCTATCAGAAGAAATTAATCGGTTAAAATGTAATTTATCTGCTGTCATGGCAAAATGTTCTGATCTCGAGAACAAAGCCAGTAGCACTTCTCAGGCATCCCAGGTAAGCACTAAAGAAATGCTGTAATTGCAAATTGGAATTTGTGCCCACTAAGCACCAATACTTGTTATAAACTAGGATGGGGTTTTAATTTTCTTGTAAGCTGCATTGCATTCTGAAATATTCTTGTATGTAGAGAGATGATATCCAGATTGAATGCTAAATGAAGAACAGTCAGGGAGCACAACTTCAGGCAACACAGCTGGGGAGGGAATTCTCTCACGCTGTACTGCAAGGTCCCTTATGCAAGCTCACATGGCTAGTGTGACTAGTGATACTACATGTAATGATCCCTGTTGATTAAGCAGATACTATGCCCTTCTTGGATTTGTGTACTCAATGATTAGACAGGCTGAGAAGGCAGCAGCAGTAGAGATGTGGGGTACTAATAAAGACACACTTTAAGATCCTCACCTCATTCAGCTTCAGTCATGAGAATATCTTTTTCCTCTCTGTTCTTATAAATCCTCATTTGTGTCTCAGTTGTTAAAACTAATTGTCTGTACTTTCTATGGCATCACTCACAGTAAATACTTCACTGAGACACGAGGTAGGACAGGAATAATGAGTTTCTCCTCTCATTCTAAGTGGTCAGTAGGTATGGTGCCAATCCTTGGCAGCGTTTGCAAGTGCATTTAATATACTAGTTGTTTTTTACAACCCTCCCTGTTCTAATGTTCCATGGAAAATGCAGTAGTATCTCAATGCGGGGCACAGGGAAGTTGGCGCCTAAAAGTAAGTGCCTGTAAGTCTTTCTTTTCCAGCTTTGACCTATAGATGGTGCTGGTTCCCTGTGCTCTACAAGGAACTTAGAAATTCTGCTTTAGGCAAATACATAGCAAAATATCTTAATCTATCACTTTTGAATATGTATCACTTCTAAATGAAGTATATTAGTAAATACCACTTTAAATGCAATATATTTATTTTCAATTTTAAGAGACTTTGAACTGTGTTAGATAGTTTAAAATGTATGTAAAGTCAACAGATTTTCAGGATATATTTGACAATAAACTACAAAAATACCTATTACTCTAAAACCATAATTTTCTTTTAAAATCTTAACTGATCTATCAACAGAGGACAACAAATATGACTGATGTTTTGACTGGATGTCATGGAAAACTTGAAAACAAGTCTAGCAATGCCGCTTGAAACTGCTAGGTGGCATGTGAGCTCTGAAGTAGAAACAACAGTTGTATGACACAGTTTTCACTGAGCAGGATTCTAACGTTCATATAAACAATTGTAGTGTCTTTAAATCCTATTTTTGTTAGGAAGTGCTGAAGTTTAATGACTGCATTCAAAGCTCCTCTGTATTTTTCAGTTATAAAATTTGTTGTAAATCATGTTGCAAAACCCATAGGTAAACATTGGAAAAATGTAGTTTGGATTTGGGTAGCAATCTATTTTTTTCTTATTGAAGTTACCTCCGACTTACATCTACCCAATTTCCTAAATTCATTCTATCATGCAGAGAATAAACATGTCAGATTATGGAAGAAATAGAACTGTTTACCTGCTCTTTAGATTTAAATGGGTCTCAAGAACTCTCCGACTCATACTTCAAGCACTGTACTGTGGATCAGGTCTCAAAAACTCAGACAGTTTGTCCTTATTGTTCCGGATAGGCTTGCACGACTTCCCAGATGTTAACTATCTTCCTGTTATCCCAGTGAAGCTGTCGAGTCTCTGTCTGGAGCTTTCCCCCAATAACTCCTGTGGGTCTGGCTTATTGTCAAACGTATAAGGATACAAAAATAGAACAACCACCTTTTTTTCTGTACTTAAATAATATCTTAAATATCTTGATTTTTCAAAAGCTCTTTGGAGAACACCCTTCAGGTCTTCCAAGAGAGCAGTTCAACAGAAAACACATGATGGTCTTCTTAGGAAATGTTCTAGTGTAACTATGAGTTGCAGAGTTATGGAATAAATAAAATGTAAATCTTTTTCCCATCTCTTGCAGAACAGTCTATTTTAAATATATGAAATGGTTTTCTACATAACTTAGATCCTTTAAGAAAGAAAACAACAACCAACTCTAAAGATTTTTAAACACAAAAGGCACATGTATTTATGTGAAATTAATAGTTATATAGAATTAGCTTTGCTCTTTCAGCCATCTATTTTAAACAACACTAACAGGTTGTCCTTTGTCTGCAGGAAGCTGTAACAAACAGCACTGAAGTTGAAAGACAATTGAAAGATGTAAGTTTCCTGTACAGTGTTGCAAGTGCATATAATCTGTATTGTGATGTGTAAGAATGTAAATTATCATCGTATACACTTTTGGTAGCATGGAACTTCAGAGGGTATATTTCCCTCCAAAATATAGTATCTAAAATTATTTTGTGATAAGACAATAATTTAAATTGAAAAAAACAAAACCTTGAAAAATAAAAAAATTGAGATAAGATTTCCACCATCTTTGAAAAACCTTGCTTAGAACATCAGAACAAAGGGGTTACTGACAAATCAGGAGCCTCGAGGAACCTGGTCTGGCACTGCCTGGAATAGCATGAAGCTGAATCAGAAACCTCCCAAGGTCCCTTCCAAGCTGAATAATTCTATGATCCAATCAGCTAAAAACTCCATGTTCTTGTTCTTAGAAACTCTAAGTTCCATTTTCAAGGTCTGTTATTTTATGTTTTATTTTATATTCACGATTGAAAAGTTAATTTTCCATAATCTAGGCATGACTCGAGAAAGCCTTTGTTCTTTAACTCATTTTCCCATTCCAAGAAGTAATCTAATGAGTATTTAATATTGCTGCAGTTTTAACTTATGTTCAGCATCCTGCCTTATCTCTCCAAACGAAGATGGATTTATTTATTGTACGGCGATTCCTACAATTTGCAGCAGACATAGCTTATCTTTAAACTGTGCAATATATAACTTCTTGCATTTTTAAGGAATAAAAATCTGATAAATTACAAGACACTTTTTTTTTTCTTCTGTTCATTTTCCTGAAGGCTCTTGAGAAAAACCAACAGTGGCTACTGTATGACCAGCAACGGGAAGCATATGTCAGGGGATTGCTTGGGAGGATCTTTGAACTTGAACAGAAGTCAGAAGTAGTTAACCAACAAGAATCTAAAGGATTCAGTTCAGAAGGTATCAACTTTATTTTTTCCCCACAAGTGACTCAAACCATAATTATCTGTAGAATAAATTTTCTGAAAACAAGTGATAGCACAATTAATCAAAATCAAGGCTTTGTTTTCAACGCTTTGGCTGCTTATTGGTAAAACTTGGTTAAGTAATATTTCTTTGCTTCCTGTTATCTGTGTTACTTACCAACAGTACTTCATGTTCTTATCCACTTCAAAGATGGGTTTTAACAGCTCTGACACACTATTAGCAACCTCTCTGTTTGCTGAAAGTGTTGAGATAAATAGGTGTCTCCCATCCTTCAAAGTACACTTTCAACCGACATAATGGAAGCATTAAGGATTTATTAGCTAGGTGTGGATCAGATTTTTTTAAATTTACTTTTTTCAAAATAAATATTATAAAAATGACTCAAGATTGCCACGTTCTTTATTCACCTGAACAGTTGTTACAGGGCATGAAAACCTGTGATAGGTTTTGGAACCTGTCCAAAATAGTGTTTCGCAATATGGATCTGGACACCGCCAGCTCACACTTCCTTGCTGTGCAGGTCCTCAGTAAGGCACACCCTCTCAGTATTAATAAAACTAAAATCACATTGAGCAGAAGAACCAGAAGGTGTTGACTTGCTTTAGTTATTATCAAACTATTATTTCATATATGCTGCAAGTGACCTGCAAGGTAAATTCATTAAATGTGGGGTAAGAGCATACCCACGGACTTGCCACAGTAACTCACATGCAGTGGCTTGGTTTCTGTATTGTTTGAATCTTTATGGAAAACAATAAAATATCATCAAAATCTTGTTTTGGTGCTGTTCAGAAATCTGTGAACAGTATTTTTAGATGAAGACAGACTGAAGTAGTAGCTTACCAGGAAATGTAACTCGAGAGTTACTTACTGCAGTCAAAGCTTTGTCATCAGAGCAGCCAGGAGACCACGAGTTAGGATGTAAGGAAGTTCCCTTCTTCAAGCAGCTAGACAGTAGCAGAAATCCAGATTTCTAAGGATCTAGCTATACAAGTTGAAAGTAGATATGACAACATTTTCCAAGGAAAATCTTGTCTGTCTCTGAGGATGTCACCACCCTATAAAGGAGTATTGCTAACGAGAACATAAGGCTTAGTTTGTAGCTGAGGGAAGGGAGAACAGTCAAGTTAGAAACTCTCCCTGGTAAATTACACTTTGAAGAAATAGGGTAAGTCTTCAATCATAACAGTATCAAAGACAAGAAACAGTGCCAAAATCAGCAAATCCCATGAAATTCTGCATTCCTTGTTCTGCTTCTATTTTGTTTTACTACTGACCGTATTACTGCAGGCCTCTTAGTTTTTTCCTACTTACTAAACTTTTCTTGTGTCAACAAGCAGAAATTTTTCAAACTCTGGTTTAAGTAACAGTCACTAGCCAAGAAGCAGTCGAGGGTTTTTTTTAGCAAAAGAACTATCCTAGTTCTTTCTATTTGCCATTTAGAAGTAAATTAAGGCATACAATTTGAAGAAGATGGTCTACAAAAGACAGTGGATGGTCTGAGTTTGGTCAACAATGATGGAGTCTATCAGATCCCCAGGGTATCTCTGGGGAGGGAGTAATGCTAGAGAGGCTAAAAGTGGAAGTAAGAATCTGGTGTCTTTGGGTCAGATTCCCATGTGTCAGTATAATGCATGAGGGCATGTAAGAACTGTGTGGGTCATGGAGCTTGTGTACTTGGGGCAAAGGTTGTAATATTGCTGTAAGGGTAAGTGATGGAAGTAGCTGTAGCACAAAATATTATGCACATGCCAAGTTGCAATTTTCCAGTAACTGTATAGGTAAGGAGACTATGCATTATAAATATTGAAAGCTGTTCTAACTAAAGTTTGGTGCTAATCTGACCTATGTAATAGCCTACTATGTCAGTTTCTATTAACCAGCCTTAAAATGCTTAAGGATTTAGTGCCCTGCTTTTTAAGTGGGGTTTTTTCCACATTATTAACTCAATTATTTCTGACTCATTAAGGTCATCTGCAAAAGGAAAAGCAAGAATACTATGACCACCTGCTACTAACTGCTAAGAGGGATCTTGAGACTGAAAGATGCACTGTAACCCAGCTGAGATCTGAACTTAATGAATTCAAAAAGAAATATGAAGAAACACAAGGAGAAATAATGAGTTTAAACGCCTCATTGCAGTCACAACGGGTTGCTGAAATGAAGGCTCAAGAAAATGAAAATAAAATGAAAGAGAAAGTGCAGAGACTAAAACAGGAAAATGAAATTTTCAAAGAAAAGCTCAGAGAAGGAAAAAAAAAAGCTGAAGATCTTTCTTGTCAGGTAAGTGGATGCATTTGGAGGTTTGAGATAATAGCAAAGAACCAAGAGAGATGAAAAGTCATACTTAATCAGAATGGCCCATCACTCACTCTGATAACTGTTCTCTGCATAGATCTAGACTCATGTCGTTGTGATTAAAACTGAGTTGTCTAAACAAGGAACTTCTTTGTTCACTTATTTCCCTGGTCTTGTGGGACATGAGGGAGAAGTGAGAAAATATTGAATTGATTCTAATATAGTTCATCCTCAAGATTAATAGTAAAGGAGGATAGGAAAGGTGAAAATTCATTTTATTGTGTGCTCCTAACTATGGAATATCATTGATATTTGCTGTCATCTGGCAGCTACAATGCACATGTGGGTTTGTAGTTTCATACCTACTGAATAAGCAGCTGTGTCCCCAGATAGTGCCCTCAGCCAACTATTGCAGCCATGTAGCTGCATTATTTTTCCTTTGCTTTTCTATTCAGATGAGTTCCTGCATTTGATTCTGTATATGATGGATAAGATCTCTGCAAGTACCCCTGAGTACTAGAAAGCAAGGGACTGATAGCAAGGGAAGGGATGGACCTTAAGTTGGGGAAAGATATGAATGTGCTGTATGTTTGTCTTTAAAAATACTCAATGCTTACCTTCGTTTGTATGAAATACTCATGAGGAGTGTGCCACGTCTGCTACACAGAGAATTACAGTGGTGTCTTAGAATATTCCTATCAGCGTGGTAGCACTAAAAAAAAAAAAAAAATCTATTCTTTCTTCTTCTAGACATGAAATCATGGCCACATAACTGCTGAAGAGAAACTGGAAAGTCATCCTTGAAGGACAGACCTCAGGGCATCTAAATATGATAGACTTGCTACTAGAATTCTGGGGTCAATAATAAAGCAATGTAGAATTGAAATTCGAAATAAGAGAATAAAATTTACTAGACACTGAAGTATACTAAAACCAGAACAGGAGTTCAGCCCTCTAAACACAGGCTGGTTCTCGCTGATTAAAAGATGTTTATTTTTTGAAGCAGAACAGCAGCATTGTCATAAAAGTTGATACATACTGAAAGCGGAGGATATTTTAATGTCTGCAATTACTTAATTATTATAGTTTAGTCCTTTCTGAGCCTTAAACTTGTTCTTTTCTCTTATAAAAAAAGCTGCATTGTTTGATACTATTAACATTGTGTCATGTTAGTACAAATGTAGGTTTTGTGTGTAATTTTTCTCAGCATCCTGGCAATTACCTAGGAAACATCAGTTTTGTGTTTCTTTTTTTAACAATAACATCATCCTGCATTTCCCCTTTTCAGTGCAATAATGATTTTTCTGTGGGGTTTTCCTCAGGGAAGTAGAGATACTTAAATCAAGTTTGGCTGTTGCATAACAGGTATATATTTTCTGTTGGCGTGGGAATGTAAAAGTTTACTTCCATCCCACTTTAGCTTCATCATTTTTTCAAGCTTATTAACTACTGTATATGAAAGTTGTTTGTTACAAGTGTTCCTCTGCCTTGTAGGTGCAACTTCTTCATAAATCGTTGCTCAAACAGAAAGAGGAGCACACAAGGATAGCTTTGTTGGAACAACAGGTACCCAATTATATGCTAAAATGCTGATATTTAATCTCTATTATGCATAAAGTCTTTCTAGACTAACGTCAAATTTAAGAATGATTAGTATATTAAATAAAGCAATACTAGGCATGAATATTCAACTGTGAATAATCTCTTGATGCTTCTAAAAATTTTGACACATCTGTCAAGAGGAAAATCTGTATCCTTTTACTGATGAGTGTGATCAAACCTGATATTATTTTCTCCACAGTCACTAGTTCAACAGTTACATCCTCAGATGAGGTACAGGAAATGTCCTTAAACCAATCAACTCGTTGAAGTTTTGCAATATATTTTTGATAAAGCTATAGAAATAATTGCATTGCTATCTTTTCCATTTTCTTTATTTTTTTTTTACAAGTACATTTTTACAGTTATGTTTATTTGCTAAGCTTGGGTGTACAGTGTTATCCATAGTTTCTGTCCAAACTGAAATACCCTCCAACCAAAAAATCTTTCAACTTCACCTCTGCTAAGGGTGATTTTGATAAAATGGACATGTATGAATTTAATTGTAGTGAAAGTAACAAGTGATTTTTAATTATTTTTTTTAAATTTTCCTTCTAATCCCATTGTAGGATGTGATTGCAGAGCAAAACTGACTTTAAACATATAAATGGGAAATATTCCTCCCTATTCTTAATAATTCTGACTTTAATTCTTTATTTTTTACTTGGGGGGCTGCCAGATCCAGACATGCACCACAGACTTAGAGAATGGAAAGCTTGATCGCCAGAACTTGGAGCATCAGTTAAACAAAGTCCTCAAGGAACTGCACAAGGCCAGGGAGCAAATATCCCGTCTGGAACCTCTGGTATGTACTGAATAACTTGCAGGTGAATTCAGTCAGGGATTTTGCATAAACATACATCTCACTTTGGGATCTTATTTCAAGCGTAGTAAGTGTCCTTACATCCTTCAGGTATGTGGTCCCAAGGAGCAGAACCCTGTGACAGCCAGCTAGCCAGGCATTGCTTTTCCTACAGTGCTGCTGCAGGAGATGTAGAATAGTCAGATTGCTGAGCAGGGAACACGACTGTGTTTTGTATCACAATGTATTCCCTAGTTTTGTCTGTCTCACAGTGACAGAGCTGCATTATGCTTCTGCTCAAACTTGCTGCTGGTGAACAAGACACAATTCTTAGTGCTGTAACACACACAAGGTTTGTGTGCCATCAGGCCTTAATGTTTTTTCCTACGGTATTTGATCAGCACATGTCTCACCAGTCTTACGCTAAAGCTCCTCCTTTTCCAGAAACTCCGAGAATCTGGACGTGTGGAACTACAAGAAGATCTGCAAGCTCTGTTTGACGAGAAGCTGACCACGTATGACAGAAGTCCTTCCCCAAAACATTCAAGCCTCCTTGATGAAAGTTTTCTCGAGTGTCCCAGATGTAAAATGATGTATCCAACAAGCCAGCACAGAGAATTGTTAGCACATATTGACTTCTGTACAGCTTGAGCTCCAAATGGACTTACTATATTTGCTTTACACATACTGCCAATATGCTCAGCAAGAGATCTTTTAAAGCTTTATTCTTAAGGTTGCATAAAGGACTGCTACTGCTAGTTTTATAATTCAGTTCTACAGAAACATTAAGAGTATAATAATTTGGCCTCAAATATTTTACCTGATGTTTTTGCAAAAAAGCAGCTATTGCACTTCTGGTTGCAAATGGAAATATTTTTAGAATTAGGAATATCTTAAATAGTAAACTACTGACTCTTTTTTTTTTGCACTATTAAATATAAGAACAGTAAAAGCACAGCTATTGTGTCAGACTTTATTTTAACATTTGGCATATCCAGTTCTTGGTTGGTGAATCCTGATGATTGTGCTTGTACCTTAACTAACAAGAATAGCTGCAAAAGATTTTTGGCCCTCATAGGTCCACTATATATATATATATATTTATATGTACATGGTGTGTGTATGTATGTGTAGTGTGTATAGTATATATAGACATGAACCATATACATGTGAAATGTCATCTTGATACACAAAAACTCAGGAGGGCCATGTTAGATCTTTGCTGCTTAAGATTCATGTTGAAAACATCAATCATAAGTAGCTTATTTTCCTGAACCACAATCAGGGGTGACCGAAATTCTGACCAAGGTTTAAGCTCTTCTCAAAAAAACCAGCTTCCTAGCAAATACAAACTTCATTGGTGCTGAAAAGCTTATATTTCAGACAATGTCAGAGGCCATTTTTGAAGTTTGGATATAGAATTATGCTGAATTGAACTTGTTTGTACTTCTATATTTTAGAGGTTAAAGTTGAGAAATGTCAGTTATTCAATCTTATATTTGACAAATGTCCCAAAGTGCAGTTTTTATAAATTGCTCTAGTGGATTTGAAGTGTCACTGTATTTTGGTATTGCTACAGGAAACAAGTTAATGATAAATTCTGGCAACAAATTAGAAACTCGCAAAAGAATTCCCTTATGGATTTGGAATTGCGGCGTTATTTTTCTCTAGCACCTGCTGTAAACCTGAATCTGTTTCCAGTGTTTTGTTCCTTGCATCTGTAGTGAAGTCCAAAAAGAAGTTCCTTCTGTGGAAATTATTAAAATGAGGAAATTTTACAAAAATACACTAGTTGAGAATAAATTTGCTTCTTTTACAAGCTTGTGGTTTTCTGAGGACAGTCAAAACCCCAAGGTCTCTCCTCTGGCATACTGGTCCTGACTGCTAGCTAATATCAGCTTTTTCCATCATGCTTTGCTGCAAAGCTGCATGTATTTACCTCATAATGCTCACCTTAATCTTTGATGGTTAAACCTTTTTCTAAAATATGAATGTGTTTTCCAAGTTATTTTCAATAACTTAGAGTATCAAGTGATACTATTGTTGATTAAATCCAGTGTTCATAAGACAGAAAGAAAATGTTAAAATCTATTATCTTTATATCTGAAATATCTTTGCCAAATTTACTATATTAACCACTCTCTTTGCCGAATTTATTTTATTAGCCACTCTATCCACTTTTCAATTTCACTGACCATGTCTCAGGCTAATCTTTGTATTTGACAATTTGCTCAAGTGTTAGCAACAGGCTTTCTTACCAAAGATATAATGAACTAATGAGTAAAACAGAAATTATGCTTCAGAATCTCAAGGTTTTGCTGTGAGAAATTGTCTTAATTTCATGTCTTTTTAAAGATCTTTTAAAAATTCAGGGTAAAAGCCATGCTTTTCATTGAACCCCAATAATTTTAATCTCTAATTAAACTACTTTTGAAAGTTTAAGTTAGTTGTATTTTCACAACACCTTAATCAGCTAGTGTTCTATTCCCAGTTGCACACTCAGCATAGTTTCTGCAAAAGGAAATCCTGATCTTTTATGTATTATAGATGAAATAAATTTGCCTACTACGGGTCAGCACTCTTCAGCAGTTCTGAGGCTTTCTTAAATTAGCATGAAACACTTTCTCATTAGAAGCTGGTACTGTAGTGGAAGACTCATATAGTTGATAATGTGATAACCTTTAAAAAGTTTTGTTCATTCCAGACCCTTTTCTGAACTTTAACAACAGATTTAGTCCTACCTGCTAAATATTACACCTAAGCACAAAAAAACCCCTCCTTGCTGATAAAGATATGGATCATAGTGTGGTATATGTTAAAAAATATAAAAATTACATTCTAGTGAATAAAAATACCTATTTTGAAAGAAGAACCACAAATACTATTGTCATCACTTACATGTAATTAAAACCAACTAAAAAACTCCCACTCTGTAAAGTATGCAGCTCATATCATTGGTTTTTTTCCATTCTTCAGAAGCTAAGGCCTCTAAGACAAAAAATTATTTTATTTAGTCTTAAAGTATTCAAAAAGGAAAAAGGTTTGCTGCTCCTCTCTCTAGTTATATTCAGGAAAGAAGTTTGTGCCTAGTGAGCTCATCTTAATGGTAAAGCTGTAAATTTAGTTCTTTGTAAGACAGGAAGCAACAGCAATGTTTTAATTATTTCAAGCACTTTGGGTTTACAATTTCAGTAGCCTTCTTCTGTGTTATGCACATTTCAAGGAATAGAATTTCAACCTAGTAGAAAGCTGATGGTCTAGGGAAGCTTGGGCGTTAATATAAAGATTTACCAACACTAGGAAAGAAAAAAAGTCTTCCTATGGTCAGTGAGAAGAGTAATGTTCAAAATTGCAACAGGAGAAAGTCTGACACAGGGAAAATCTTTCTGGTGGTTGGAGTAGATGAGCAGTGAAACACATTGCTTAAGGAGGCTGTGAAATCTCCCCCACTGGAGATTTATGGGGACAGTTACATAACTACCTAAACCATCCCCGACACGTGAGTCTGCCTTGGGTCAGGGATATCAGCCATTGATTTCTCACAGTGCCTTGAAGTGCTATTTTAAATTACACACAAAGACCTGCAATAAATAAGATTTAAATAAAAACACAATTGTTGTTCTGCATGGACCCTCAATGTTATTTCACTCCATGCAGAATTAGTAGCTACCACACCAGAATCATGAAAGCAGTTTAATCTTGTGTTTCTCAGGTGGAAAATTACTGGTATTCCTATGTCTGCATAAACTTCTAGTTTGAGCAGAAAAAGCCATTTTATTGCACTGAACCATCGCAACCCTGCTGGAAAACAAGATAAATAACACAAACACTTGATGTCACTTAATTACCCAGTATTGGGAAGTGCCTCATCCCCACGTTGTTTTAATGAACAGCACCATGGTGTCTGGTTCTATGGCATTTGGGGAGTTTGGAATCCCCTCCACAAGGTGCTCCAGAAAGCTGGTGTGCTGAGTGAGAGTTAACCAAGCCAGCCAGTGAGAAACATGACTGCTCAAGAAAGGCTTGGTGTGTAGAAAGGAGATGCTCTGGAGGAGTAGCAGATGTGAATTCTCTTATAACATTGGCTGTCTATGTCAAATGAGCCTCTTGCAAAAAAAAAGCAGACTTCAAACAGGACATGTATCCAAGAAGTGAGACCTCCCCTTACACCCAGTCTCCCTTCAGACTTGAACAGAAATCCACACCGGAAGTCAGGGACATTTTGCTGTCTCTCTCTGATCAATTAAGATTTTAAGTATTTCATATTGAATTAATAGTTTCAAAAAGAGCAAGATAAGATGCTTCAGAATATCCTGTAAGAATGAAGCCTGACACCTTATCATAGTGATATCCAGCTGGCTTCTTGACAGTGCCACCAGGTTTAATTACCCTCATCAACTCAAAACTGGTGAATGTGCACACTGCAACAGTGAAAGTGCTAGTTTTGTCAATGTAACAACTGTGATATGGTCAATATTATTTCATTCAACAAGACAGGAAACTCTACAGCCTAATTAAGGCATCCATGCTTTCAAGCCTCAGTTTTTAAGAAGCTCTAAGTCATCTCTTATCAGTCATTTCAAATAGCCATTGATAATATTAAACACGGACATCGTGGAAAATAATATGATTAACATTACATTTGAGAAATCAGAAGGGTTTACAGCAGAATTTAAAGTATTGTTTGAACTTTCCCTCATTGCTGTTGCAAGAGTGATTTTTCTACTTCTCCAGCCCTAGGTTAATGCTAGTTAAGCACGTGCCTTGCCTTCCAATATGGACAGATTTTCTTTGCAGCAGACAGGCACTCTGTTGACCTTATTTCAGAAAAATGTGGCTTTTAAAAGTAAAGTTTCTATTCCAATTCTGATCTGAAGAACCTCTGTTTCTCCCAACAAGTTACTCTTTAAGATGAGACATAAGGGAAAGAAAAGCAAGCCAATTCTCCTTAAATCTCACAAGTAAGAGCATTCTCTAATCACTGGGTTCTTGAATATGAGGGAAAATAAAGATATCTGTGATCTCTGCACAGTGTACAACCCAGCAGACCAATGTGTTCAGGAAATGTCTGAGTACATCTCATGAGCATGAGAGGCTGGTGACAAGTTTGGTTTGTAAATCTTTCAGATGTACGCAACAATATTTGCTTTGATGTCTCTGCATCAAAGGTCATTAGCAGGAATTTAAGTAACTTTATGCACACCTGAAAGTTAAGCAAAGGTTCAGTGGCCCTTAAACATCAGACTATAATTCTCCATATAAATCTTACTCAGGATCTCAGTTCCTGGTGAGAGCATTCTACCATATCCTGCAATGTCCAAACAAATCATTCTGATACCCTGTATTCACTGATAAAGGCCCTAAATCCATGGGATAGATGTGTGAGTGAACTAAAGTTTTTAAAACTGTTAAAAAACAACCTCATTTAGTTAGAACAGTTTAGCTGGAGCTGAGTCACCCTGGTGAAGCTTGGTTAGCATGCAGCAAAACAGAGTTCTCTTTTACATGGATTATGTACTTACATTTGCACTTGGTTCAGAGAGAAATCCCTTCATTACTGAAAGTCACAAGGAAATTCAATATTGATGTTGGCAAAACTTCTGGTGGTCTTGACAACAAAAAGCTGACACGGCTTTTATTAGAAAGCACATCTACTGAGAGTAGTATCAGCAGCTCTGCACTTGACCGAGGCATTGGTGAATAATGCTGCTGCTACAGCTTGAAACTACAGCACCACTGGCACATA